ATTTAATTAGATGATGTTGAAGATAAAGTTTATTTTGTGTTGTAAAAGTTGATTTATAATATAATACTTACAATCTAAGAAATAAAAATAAATTTATTTAATTAGATGATGTTTTAATAAAGATAAAGATAATTTTGTGTTATAAAAGTTAATTTATAATATAATACTTACCAACTATTAAATAAAATATAATACTTACCTTCTATGAAATAAAAAATTAATTTATTTAATTAAATGATGTTTTAATAAAGTTTATTTTGTGTTGTGAAAGTTAATTTATAATATAATACTTACCATCTATGAAATAAAAAATAAAATGATGTTTTAATAAAGTTTATTTTGTGTTGTAAAAGTTAATTTATAATATAATACTTACAAGCTATGAAATAAAAAATAAAATTATTTAATTAGATGATGTTTTAATAAAATTTATTTTGTGTTGTAAAAGTTAATTTATAATATAATACTTACCAACTATGAAATAAAAAATAAAATTATTTAATTAGATGATGTTTTGATAAATTTATTTTGTGTTGTAAAAATTAATTTACAATATAATACTTACTCCCTATGAAATAAAAAATAAAATTATTTAATTAGATGATGTTTTAATAAAGTTTATTTTATGTTTAAAAGTTAATTTATAATATAATGCTTACAAACTATGAAATAAAAAATAATATTATTTAATTAGATGATGCTTTAATAAAGTTTATTTTTGTTGTAAAAGTTAATTTTTAATATAATACTCATAATACTCACCAACTATGAAATAAAAAAATAAAATTATTTAATTAAATGATGTTTTAATAAAGTTTATTTTGTGTTGTAAAAATTAATTTATAATATAATACTTACTCCCTAGTTATTATAATGAAATAAAAAGAAAATTATTTAATTAGATGATGTTTTAATAAAGTTGTAAAAGTTAGTTTATAATATAGTACTTACAAACTATGAAATAAAAAAAAATTATTTGATTAGATGATGTCTTAATAAAGTTTATTTTGTGTTGTAAAAGTTAATTTATAATATAATACTTACACCCTGGTTATTATAATGAAATAAAAAATAAAATTATTTAATTAGATGATGTTTTAATAAAGTTTATTTTGTGCTATAAAAGTTAAGTTATAATATAATACTTACCAACTATTAAATAAAATAATAAAATTATTTAATTAGATGATGGTTTGATAAAATTTATTTTGTGTTGTAAAAATTAATTTATAATATAATACTTACGAGCTATGAAATAAATAAAAAAATATTTAATTAGATGATGTTTTAATAAAGTTTATTTTGTGTTGTAAAAGTTAATTTATAATATAATACTTACCATCTATGAAATAAAAATAAAAATATTTAATTAGATGTTTTGATAAAGTTTATTCTTTGTAAAAATTAATTTATAATATAATACTTACGAGCTATGAAATAAAAATAAAACTATTTAATTAGATGATGTTTTAATAAAGTTGTAAAAGTTAATTTATAATATAATACTTACACCCTAGTTATTATAATGAAATAAAAAATAAAAGCATTTAATTAGATGATGTTTTAATAAAGTTGTAAAAGTTAATTTATAATATAACACTTACAAACTATGAAATAAAAAAATAAAAAAATTTAATTAGATGATGTTGAAGATAAAGTTTATTTTGTGTTGTAAAAGTTGATTTATAATATAATACTTACAATCTA